TCTTGAAATAATAAAATTCCCAGCAGTTAAGCGAACGTTATCAACTTTTTGATCTATTTAAATGAAAAGGGTGATTAGAACATTTTCAATCCTCTCATGAGGTTACTGTAAGAGTACAAGTGTAAAATCTCGAAACACATCAGCAAATCGCCTGCGTGTAATTACGGACGAGGAGAAAGAAATCCCCCCCCCCCAAGAAAAGTACTACAACAGAGAATTAAGTGGAGTAGGTTAGGGTGGAATGGGGCAGGGTTGGAGGCTGGCGAAAGATCACTGCGGAACCCACCCACACTCCAAACGCCGCCCTTTTCCAGTGTCACTGCGGTAAAACTCTTTTGTCTCCGGTCGGAATTAATTGTTCCGCCGGGAATTGCTCGGTTCGCTTTCATTTTCTGTTTTAAAGAATATCGAGGGCCTGTCTACGCGTTTATACGAGAGCCCGACGTCAATGGTTTTACACGATAAACTTTACGGCTCTTGTTATCGGGGAAATTCGATTTTAACAACACCAAGTTCAAACTGCAACACATACAAGTAACATGTTGATGCTTTGTGCCAAAATTTCCCATAAAAATATAGTAAGAATAACATTCATTAAAGTTCATAAAACAGTTAAATTTATTTTTAAAAACGTCCTATTTTACTTTCAAGGATTAATTTCAAAGCAAAGGGTTGACAAATGATTTTTTTTAAATTTTCTAATTATCCTGAGTTTTGTTATTAATATTTTCAAAAATACATCGTGAGCACCAATATCCAAACTCGTTCTCGCACTTTCTTTCTCTCCCAAACTCTAGGGTTGTATGATTATCACTATTTCTTTCTTTGTTTTCATCACCCCTTCCCCCATTTCATCCATATCCTCCTACTTGTTTATCATTCTTTCTGTCTTACTACTTTTTGTGTGCTTTTCTGTCTCTGTCCATTTATCTTTCTGTAGATGTACATCATTCTCATTCTCTCTCTCTCTCTCTCTCCCTCTCTCTCTCTCTATCTATCTCTTTCTCTACCTCTCTCTCTATCTCATCCTTTCTATCTTTCCACTTTTTTCTGTATATCTTTCTTTGAGTCTGCCGGTCCACATACACATACTTGTCTCTCTCTCTTTCTCACTCTCATCCTCTCACTTTTTCTCTCTCTTTTGTTTATTTTTAACTGATCCTCTTTTTTTTGCATTATCTCTCTTTCTCGCTCTTCCCTCCCTCTCACTCACTCACTCTCTCTCACTCAGTTTCTCTCTCTCTCTCTCTCTCTCTTTCTTTCTTTTTTCTTTCCCTTCCTCACTTTTCTTCTGCATATCTTTGAGTTTGTCTGTCTGTCTTTCCGTGTTACATACTTGACTCTCTCTCTTTCTTACTCTCACCTTCTCTCTCTCTCTCTTTCTCTGACTCTCTCTTGTCTATTTTTAACTGATCCACTCTTTTTTCCATATATCTCTTTCTCATTCTTCCCTCCCTCTCATTCGCTTCCTCTCTCACTCAGTTTCTCTCTCTGCGTCCCCCCTCTCTCTCTTGTTTATTTTGAACTGATCCTCTTTTTTTCGCATTATCTCTATTTCTCACTCTTCCCACTCACTCACTCTCTCTCTTTCTCTCTCTCTCTCTCACTCAGTTTTCTCTTTCTTTCTCTCTATCTCTTTTTTTCTATTTTTCTTTCCCTTCCTCGCTCTTTCTCTCTCTCTCTCATCCTTTCAGCCTTCACACTTTCTTCTGCATATCTTTCTTTGAGTCTGTCGGTCTGTCTTTCCGCATATACATACTTGTCTTTCTCTCTTTTTTACTCTATCTATCTCTTGTCTATTTTTAACTCATCTACTCTTTTATCCATATCTCTCTTTCTCACTCTTCCCTCCCTCCCTCTCTCTCACTCACTCTCTCTGCCACTCAGTTTCTCTCTCTGCGCCCTTCCCTTCCTCTCCTGCTAGCTTAAAAGTGGTCTTCACTCAACACTCTTTCACCGAAATAATTTATTACGAAATTTTCCTTTTGTAAAAGATGGACTGGCAACCTTGATCAGAATAATTTACCCTACTGTTTAATTTGGAGCTTTAAATTAATTAATCAGCGTTGAGGGATTGATGCCGAACTTCCACTCGAACCAACTGACATTTATCCTTTTGAAATTGTCTCGACGTACGTTGTAAATCCATTAAAAACTATACATCGAAGCTCGTAGACAATTTGAAAATACATATCTTACATGTATTTATTGCTGATTAACTGATAAGTGTGCGATAATAACCATTAAGTGATCAATTCAAAAACTGCACAGTGCGTCAAAGAATGACTCACGTGTGAGCCAAACACGCACCCAAGGAAAATTTACCACGATATCGTCGAAAACTGAATCACTCTTTATATTTATTATCAAGTTAAAACTAAATCAATACCCTAAGAGTTGAACTAAAATTAATGTTTTGATTGGAACATTTATTCGTTCTTCTTTATTTCCGAAATTACCTCGTTAAATAACGAAAAATCAATAATAAGTATTTTCCAAAGATTTTAATTGTACAATCATATCCCAAAAGCAATGGCTTTGTTTAAATTGCTAGTCAGCAATCGCACGCCCACAAAAAAAGTGTCATAACTCAGCAAAAGAAAATTTTACAAACGAGACAAATGGAAGTTTACGTTTTTTTAAAATTTATGTATTAAATACAAGCAGTTACGGTTGTTGGCAATAAAAACTGTCATGATCCATCAATATTGCCTTTCCTTTCTCCAAGGCCTAGGCGAAAACACAAAATTTTAAAAATCCAACTGTACTACCCCTTAAAAACTACCCCAATTCAAAAGTGACACATGGTGCTGCCTACCAGAGTCCACCAGTTGTGTCATTTTTCCTGCAGCATCTCACACCAGAATACTTAATAAAAAACATTTTATAATTTTTCGACTTGTGTCACTTTTCTTGTGGGTGTGCGATATCTACACTGAGAAAAAAAATAGACACCATTAAATAGTTTTAATTATCTCTAGGCAATTCTCCATTGATTTTCTTATAACAATATTTGGTTTGTTTTAAAAGATTAGAAGTAAATAAAACACATAAAATATCCCAATTGAGTTTCCAATTGGGTTTTTGTAAATAAATCTTTGAATAGTAAATCCTTTTTTGTTGGTTTTTCTTTTCTTGCTTCTTTCTAACGTTCTGGCGGTTTTATTTTTTTAAGTTGTCCCATTTTCAAGTTTCAAATTTGTGTAACTGATGGTAATAATTGATACGGATTCGACTAGAATCATAGCATTGTTGGAACATGGAATAAGTCAAGGGTATGTGGCCCAGGGTGCTTAAAATCCATCAATTTTGTAAATGAAAATCAATAATATTAACGTTTTAAAATAAATCCTGGATATATCAATCCTTTTAATTGGAAAGTTTTTTTTTTTTTTTTTTTTTTTTTAATTTGTTTTTACGAGGGTTCGCAACAGCAGAGGTCCTATAAACCCTCAGGGTGCCGGTGTTTTTGAAAAAAAGCACATTTGTAAGTATGTCGGGTTCGAATGCAGGGCCGCTTGATTCGAACCCGGGACCTTTACCTTACAGTGATGAGCGCCGTGTCAAAGACTAAATCCTGCGGCCACAGAAACCCCTTTGTTTCTTATTCTTTTCGAAATTAAAATCTTGACAATTCCAAAAGGTAAACTAGTTGCATGGTTTAATGGTTTTACCATAGGTATATTAGGATAGAGATTTTTTATCCTTAGTGGATAAAAAATTGTTGATCCTTATAATACAGTTTGATATAAGTTTTAAAGGAAACACAAACCACAGCATAAATTTTGGACATATTCAGCTTTATTATGTTTATTCACGTAAAACCTAGTCAACGATTCCTTGAAAAACTATTCATTTTTGTTTTTACAATTGTACGATCGATAACAAACTAAATGGTCTTGTAAATTGATCAGCTTTAGTTATTTTTAAAAAAGAGGGCCAATATTAAATATTTCACAGTTATGGAATTTTCCAAATAATCCATTGAGTAAAGCCCTTACTCCACCTTTAAAAATTACATTTCCAATAGTTCATCGCCGTTAACAGGACGAACAGGGCTGTTGAGATAATTGAACTTGTTCCCGATGTTTACTCAAGTTTAATTGGCGGAGTGATGAGTTAGGAGAAGTGAGGGCAGAGATAAGGGTAGATTTGTCACAGGTCGGATACGAGACACCCCCACGACACAACTCCACCCATGATATCGACGACGACCAAGTTTTTCTTTGTGTACCATTATCCTCTGCTTTATTTTACGATAACCATCTGAATGTCATTTTGATTTGTTAAAACTAATGGCCTAGTAAAACCTGTTTTTAAACTTGACTAGGACATCAGAAACAATATTGAAAAGACTTTCATGATAAGCAAATGAAATTAACATTTATTGATTTCAAACATCAGATCAAAGTAATTATCTGATAAAAATCATGAATTATTTTGCTGCTATTATTTTGAATACTCTCAATACACATTAGTTGAACTTTTTTTTAACTAGTTCTTCACAGTATCTTTTTCCGCTTGGCAGACTTGAATTGAACGAAATCTGTTTGTTTCTGCCGACCTGGCTTTTCTTTCAACGTGATTGATGGAGTTTACCGATCAATATGTCAATTGTTGTGCCCGATCTCCTTTCCCGAACCCAAACAAGAATATATTTTTGGACACGGTTAGACTAAAATTAACCCTGGTTTAGAGACATAATCGTAATAGGGATAATGATGGTGAAAAAGGGGCGAAATAGGGGAGGGCTTTTCAACATAAAACTTGGATTAGTCCTAAGATCCATGACCTTGTACAAATCACTAAAGCTTAACTAGAACTAAAATTATCTCTTATCCTCTTTTCAAAAGAACGTAAAAAGAAAATATGCCGACAAAATCCGGATTTTTATTAAAAAGAATTTTTATGAATAATCGCCTTAAAAAGACCCTGGAACAAATCGTTACACTTCCTATTTTTTTTTGTGTAAATTATTTTAAAATTTCGGCGGTGCTTCATAAAGAAGGAAAGATCCCAGCTGATTTTCATGTGGCGATAATATTTTACGAAATTTTTTCACAAGACAACAATATCACACAAAATACACTATTTCACGTCTTTTACGTACTCTCACTCATAAAGCAGTATACATCATAAGAAGAAAAAAATCGAATCAACACAATGTTTTCAAGGTGAGTAAAATTCTCAAAGTGAAATTAAATTTTAACCATAAAAAAAACTCTGACAAGAGTTTTTTCTACCAAATAAAAGAAATTTGAACAGTATTTTAAACATTGTAAACAATATGAGCCAACAATGGTCCTTTCTTACCGAGAATCAACAGAAAAATCCAACAAAAAAATTTATTTTTGTCAGCATATAATGCATGTAATATGCATGTAACAGTGCATATTACAAAGATTGTATTTTTTAAAATTTACAAATAGGTAAATCAAATTGATAAATAAAAGCAGTGAAAAAAATACATAGACAAGTAATTAAAAAAATAATGTCTATACGGTTCTTATGCTTTCATTGCATAATATAACCACAAATATTAAATATACATAAATAAAAACATTTGGGATCTATGAACGGGTCAGGTTGTTTCAGTTCAAACTTAGCTGGTAGTTTAATTTTACCCTCTAAAGATAAAAAAAAACCAAGGCAATGTGCAAAGATTGGGGAATTGGCTTTACGGGGCAATGACTACAACGCCTAAAGCAGCTTTTTAACCACTGTTAAACTTCCCTCTATTGGAAAATTATAATAAATTATACAAGGAGAAGCAAGGAAAAGCTCATCATACTCTAAAAACAGTTTTATTCCGTAGGAATTAAACATTTCAGCCATGGACCGAAAATCACACACCCATTCTCAAAAATAGTGATATAGTCAAGGAAACATACTTTACATCTTATAAAGTTTTAACAAACTGCAAGGAGAAAAAAAACGAATAGGAAAATAAAATTCGATTTTATGGTTTACTGATTATTTGCAGGTCGTGAGATACGGTCTGGTGTGACGTAGGTTTCAGAAAAATATTTTCTCTATCGTACCAACGTTTCGATCTTTATTGAGATTATCTTCAGGGCCTGGGATTTATAAACATTGTTTAAATTTTACAAATACATGTAGGATGTGAAAACATGAATTTATACAATGCCAGAAATTTTAGATTAAACAAATAGAATGTATACAATGCTAGAAAATTTCTACAAAAAAATATAGTATGGTAGAAAATTTTAGATAAAAAACTGGATTTATACAATGATAGAAAATTTTCAATAAAAAAATAAATTTATGCAATGCTAGAAAATTTCTAAATTTAATTAAATTAATCCAATTTATTCTAAAATTTTCTAGCATTGTATAAATTCAATTTTTTAATCTAAAATTTTCTACATTGTATAAATTCATAATTTTAGCTAAAAATTTTCTAGCATTGCATAAATTCTGTTTTTTAAATCTAAAATTTTCTAGCATTGTATAAATTCATTTTTTTTAATCTAAAATTTTCTAGCATTGTATAAATCTTTTTTTTAATCTAAAATTTTCTAGCATTGTATAAATTCATTTTTTTTAATCTAAAATTGTCTAGTATTGTATAATTTTTTTAAAATCCAAAATTTTCTAGCCTTGTATAAATTCAATTTATTTATTTATTTTTAAATCTAAAATTTCTAGCATTGTATAAATTCATTCTTTTTTAAATCTAAAATTTTCTAGCATTGTATAAATTCATTCTTTTTTTAAATCTAAAATTTTCTACCATTGTATAAATTCACTTTTTTTCCACATCCTACATGCATTTGTCAAATTTAAACAATGTTAACAATTTTAGAATTAATACAATGCTAGAAAATTTTAGATAAAAAAATGAATTTATACAATGTTAGAACATTTTTGATTAAAAAAATGATTTAATACAATGCTAGAAAATTTTAGATTAAAAAATGAATTTATACAATGTTAGAACATTTTTGATTAGAAAAATGAATTTATACAATGCTAGAAAATTTTTGATTTAAAAAAATGAATTTATACAATGCTAGAAAATTTGAGATAAAAAAATGAATTTATACAATTCTAGAACATTTTTGCTTAAAAAAAATGAATTTATACAATGCTAGAACATTTTAGATTAAAAAATGATTTTATACATGCTAGAAAATTTGAGATAAAAAAATGAATTTATATAATGCTAGAATATTTTTGCTTAAAAAAATGAATTTATACATGCTAGAAGCTAGTTTCTTTGATAGATAAAATCTTTATCTTTTATGGAGGGTGCTTTTAGGTTTAGCATCCTCCTACTTGTAAAAGACACATTAGATATTTTCTTAGGGTTGATATTTAAACGTATTTTCTCATACAATCTTCTCACAATGTTTAGGGCGTTTTCGATCTGCCAAAGAAATGTTTTTATTGCAGACTTAATGGCATTAAAAATAATACCTTATTATGATTTAAAATTGTAATAAAAAAAGAACTTTACTCATCTTTTTATAGGTCGTTAAAAACGTACTTATCAGAATCCTCAAGTATAGTAGCTCAAAGCTTAAGAGTAACTAGCTAAAAGCTCTTTCGTTCTTATGATTCCGTTTTATTTTGAAAAATTCACCGTAGAACTTAGCTTTTGAAACGCACTTTTTCCTCCTCAGGCTACGATCCGTATCAAACACTTTAAAACACATAAGAAAATGTTCAAATTTGCCTGCGGTTGTGAAAAGGCCAGGAGGTGATCAGTGCACGAGCCCCCACTTCAGAGTGACAGTTTTGAACGGGGACACGAACACCGGACTTTACACATGCCTGGCATTGAAGCAGAACCCGGGGATCAGCGAGCTTAACATCCACGTATCGTCCAGGACGGCCAGCTTCGCCAATGATATAAAGTACATACCCGGAAGGGCAAACGTGAACATTTTTTACGGCGAAGCTCAGATCGAATCGTCTCTTAAGGTCAGATAAAATAATTATTTACTTAAGCTTATTGTCATATATAAAACATTACTAACATTAATATAATCCATGCTAATTTTTCAAACCAGAAAAGCTTTATAACGCATATATTTTCAATGCTCTAATCTCTTGTTCGAACACCTGCAGCTATCTTTTTTTTCCGAGCCAATTAGTATAATCACGTAGGCTTAGATTACAAAAGTGCCCCAGGGTAAGATTACCTTAAGAGGGAAAATATTTTTGGCCATTTACGCTCTAATCGATTTCGGCTATTTTCGAAGCCGCCTGGTCAAACGGAAACTATTAGATGTTGAAAAGGTTAAGTCAACGATTTTTCGGGTCAATCACGTTATTGTATTTTCAATGAATTCGAACAAGAAAATTCTTGAATGGAAATTCCCCTTTTTTCTACATGACAGGAGAAAACGATCGTGTTATTTTCTATTGCCAACTTAAAGTAATTAATTAAATTACAAATATTGTCAAAGGCCAATACTTCTAATGTATTTTTTATTATGCTCTTATGGGCACAAATAGAAAATAATCGTTATTTAAATAAATAATATTATTAAAGTAGGTTACTCCTGAAATATATTTCTAACATGATTTTTCTAAGTTTCAATTGTTTGTTAACCTTTCTCATGGATACAAATAGTACTAAAATACAGAAAAATCATATTCATTGTTTTTTATACCACAAAATGAAATTTTAACACCACCCTTACGAACCGCTGGTCTCATTCATAGGAAGGATATAAATCTTATAATTTTAAAAACTTGTTCAACAATCAGGTCCACTCAGACAAAAAAAAAACATATTCCTATTGCATATTTTAACCTTTATCAAAAATTATGCGTCTATTTTCAATGATCCTAAAATAAAATAAAATATGAATTATAATAAAATCCAAGGGAGTTATGAATTTTTAAAAGAAAATCGGATACAAAAAATTGCCCTAAGGTAATCAAACTTAAAAATTTATATTTCTCGTTTTCGATAAAAATTTGTATTGTAATTTCATAGGAGCTTTAAAAAATACTTAAAACGAATCCATTTTTTTCCAGAAACCTAAAATCTTTTTACTTATTTTACTCGAAACATTTGGTTTTTGTATCTTTTTATATGTTTAATCCAAAAGATTATAAAGAAACTACATATTATTGATTTTTTAAAAAAGCAATAAATTATATCTTTGAAATATACAGACCGTTGGTTCAGAATGAGTCTATGCTACGAGTTCTTGGAAAGCAGGACACGCTGGCGTCCCGCAAGGGAGCATTCTTGATCCAATCCTTTATATCATCTTATGTGTAGGATATATTGGAGAGTTTGTTTAAAGGTGCGCCTGCCTGAAAGAGGGCGCCACAAAAAGATGGATAGTTTTTCGCGGGTTCACCGAAACCTCTCGGGAGAGAAAAAACTATTTTCTTTCTTCTCTTTCGGGTCAACCACGTGAACTCGGGCAGTTACTTTCTTGTCTGTCCTAAATTTAAAATTCAATACTTTGTACCTCAGCATGCAGAAAAATTGTGTATAAAATCTTTGTTTTTTTATTGTTTCATATTTAAGTATATATTTTTTTCTGTTATTTTTCATATTTGAAGGATTTAATTAAATTTTGTTATTTTCTTTTCTTATATATACATTTTTTTGAGCAGATCCTCTTAGCTTCCATAAATACGGGTAGCGGAGCTTAAGAAAACTCAGAAAGCAACACCAACACAAACAACATACAAAACACCCAACATTTCACCTGTCAACAAAAAAGGCTCCACGGAGATGGAACCAAAAAATACACATTCCAAAAAAACCCACACGAACACCCAATCCTTCATCCTTCCATCAATCCTCAATCCTCCAAAATCAACCAAACCAACACATGTATCCCGATATTAGCATTCTTCACAATTCCAGGGATGAGAGCTCGTCAGAAAGCTCATCTCATATCATGAAATTACCTCAAAAAATACATAAATCATTTTTGAAAAATAGTACGTCTCCTACACTAGTAGAAAAAATAAAATCATTACCAATTTTCCAGCTATACCAGTCTGCAACAATTATAAAGTTTCTAACAGAACTAACACCAATCGCATTAAGAAATAGAAACAAGTTAAATTTTTTTAAGCTATTTTAGCAGACCAAGAAAGCGATTAAATGACTGCTCATTTCTTGTACAATGCCGTGGCTTTCAATAAAATAAATTTCGAGATATTTTCTGAGGCAGTGATCACGCATGGTCCAAAAAACAATATCTCCAAACAAAGGCACAGTCGATGGTCGCTCCGCAGGATGAGAACACTCCTCTCAGACAGTATATCGATTATCAAATAAAACTATTAAAATTATTCGGAAATCGTGAGATGCCGTCTGGTGTGATGTAGGTTTCAGAAAAACAATCACCACACATTATTAGGAGAAACGAATGAATATAAGAACGTTGCAGATTTAATTAAGGCAATTCACACAAAGTTTTTAATTTTAATGGGGAACACTGATAATATAAAATGTTATCAACATCTTTTTGATAAAGCAAACTTGCCTCTTAACACCCATAATCTATACTGCTGATCTACCTGTATAACAAACAAACCACCTACGAAGACAACAATTTTGTCCTCTAACTCGAATCGTATTGTTTTCTTCTCAAACTTTCTCCAACATCTAACAGCACTTTTATCGAGTGCCATTGCAAAAAGTTGAGGACAAGGCTGAAAGAAACGTGTAACCAGTGATTCACGTTATTCTTTCCCTCCACTGTCATCAACACCAAAGAAATACCGACTTGCATGAAGTCGAAATTTAGCTCTGTACATAGACAGCAGCCTGACATGGAAGACTTAACTACTTAACAGAAGACTTCAACAACTACGAAGATTCTAGTATTGAAATCCGTTTTAACCGTCAACACTAAAATAACCTTATGCAAGAGTTTACTTCGACCAGTTTGAACAGACGGCGTCCAGTGCATCAAATCCTTCCAATCAAAAATTCTCAGACAAATTGTCAAAGCTCCTTACCAAGACACTAACCTCATCATCCACAACGACCTGATTCCTTTTGCCCACGAACTGATCCCAATCGTAAATTTTTCACACTTCGATCCATCCTAACCATTCTGTTCGAGATGCCTGTATACACATTCCTATCCTGAAGATCCTGCCTTAATCGACGATGGCCTCGAGACCTCATTGCCCCTTAATCCCTCATAATGAGTGCCAAAATTGTCCATTTTTGGCCAGTTTATTCCCGCTTCGACACATTTTGTAATTTCTTTTCTTCCGAAATTTGTTAGGAGATTCTTGGATTGCCTGTGTCCAATGAGTGAATTCCATTGTTCCTTCATTTTCGTTTTGTCCTCCTGTCTGAGATACTCATTAATAGTTTAGGTTCCTATGCCACAGAAGGGTTCGAGTCCTATCAGCGGTGTAGCAGTTCTTTTCCTTGCAAGGGTGTCCGCTTTCTCGTTGCCTTCAACTCCCATGTATCCCGGGACCCTGCAGAGGCTGACTTTCTTCTGCGTACCTAATATATTCAATTTGGTTTTGCCGTTCAACACCACCTTTGAACTAATGATATTTGAGCTTAGTGCTTTGATGGCTGCTTGGCTATCTGACATGATAGAGTTCTTGTTTTTGTAACCTTTAGTCAACATAACCAATCTGTTCGAGCACGATATACACATTCCTATCCTGAGGATCCTGCCTTAGTACCTCGAAACCTCCTTGCCCATTAATCCCTCATACTGAGTGCCAATATTGGCCATTTTGGGTATGTTCATTGGAGGCTACCAGTATTAATGGTGTATAAACGAACTATGATCAAACTTGTAACATGTACTAATAGGCAACAACTAAAATTTAAAAAATAAATTACAAGAAGGTTCTTGAATCTAAACCTTTTTTTAAAACTCATTTCTCTGTAAAAGTTTTGTGTTGTTAGTGATATGATTACAAATCCTTTTCTCTAATGGTCTGGTGTAGAAGTGTAAACTTCATATAAGCCATTTATATTTTTGTGGTCAACTGACAAAGTTACTTCTTTGAATTAATTATTCTTTTTATGTAAGGTCTTGGTTGAGATAAAAAAAGTCAGTGTCATGAGCGGGATTCGAACCCACGACCATCGCCGCTGCTCTACCACTTGAGCTATCATAACTTCGATCTACTCGGACACCGACTCTCCATCTCAACCTAGAACCGTTCGAATTTTCCCTCTTTTTGCCATTTTTTCAAATGTCGTGTAATCAGGATTGGATTCTCAGCGTCTTATGAAGTGGCCAAGGGGAGCTGTTAGAGAAGTGATACTTCTTTTAATTGTTAAATATTAATCCATTTATTTTTTTGTGATCAATTGACCAAGTTACTTCTTTCTATTAATTACTCTTTTTATTTAAGGTGTTTGTTGAGATAAAAATTCGAATCCCGCTCGTTACACTGACTTTTTTGTCTGAACCAAGACCTTACATAAAAAGAATAATTAATTGAAACTTCATATACGCCTTTCTTCGATGAGGTCTGTTTTAATTAATTTTTTTTTTTTAAAGAGCATCTTGAAATAATAGACCTTATAGTAGTTTTTTTTCTACACAATCCAAAGAGGATGTATAAATGGGTTAAACGTGATAGAACCTTCAGGAAGAGTGTCGTCTTAGGGAAATTGACTTCAACGATTCAATTACCCCTGGTAAGGGATTTTGCGGCTAATAACATTCCAACCCCCGACTTCTCTATTGTGTATCGATTCTCCCTTTATTCGACAAGATACGCCAGAGTTACTTTTACTTGTAATAACCTGCGATCCTCTGTTGAAGAATTTCTGTTCTACAAGGATCGTGATGGAATGTTCAATCACTGGTTGTATATTCCGGTTGTAACGGTTGCCGTTGGAACACTGCATACATTTGTTTCTTGTTAATTGATCCCTGAGATACAACGAACTATATTAATCCATTCAATTGTCTTCTAAGATTCTAAATAAACTAGAAATATTTAAAAAAAAAATTAAAGGTGCACTATGTACTCATAAGAAAAGTTTATTTTATATTAGAACGTATTGACAATATTTCAGTTAGGCATTTTTAAGAGTTTATTATAATAAAATATGGCATTAAAAAGACAAAATCACATTCATTTTCAAATCGGCCGGGGTTTCGCATTATAACAGGGCTTTTAATTAATTTAGTTGAAGACGGTTTGAAGACAGACCGGGGGGCTTTTATATCGCGCAATTGAATTAAAACCCAAAACTCAATTGCGGCTAATTAAAATTGCTCTAATAACTAGAAATAATTAACTCACAAAATGGTCTCTCAGGGAGTTCAAGGTACATGATACCAGCACGAGTTAAAAACTCTCGGTGAATTGACCGTTTTCCAATCGGAAATGGCAAATAAAGAAAGTCAACAACGTATGTCACGATTTTCTGTTATGCTCCTCGGTAATAAGTACGTTTGTTATATTAAAAAAAAAACATTTAACAAATATGTACTGATTAGTAAACATTATAACAATGTAATCGCTTTCTGAGAGAATTTCAAAGACAACCCCATTTACATGTTAATTAACTTCATTAAATTCCTAAGATCTATTACCATACTTTACCTTTTAACAACAATGTATTTTTTGATCGATTGGCATTAATAAAGACAGCATTATGAAAAATTAAAAATATATAAAAAGAAAAAGTTTCATTATTTTGTAAAAAAAAAAAAACTGAATAATTATCCTCATTAGGTTTTTTAAAACGCAGAAATTGAATGAAAAGTATCTCGACTATTTTGTATTTCAAGTTTTATGAAATTGCCAGAATTTTTGTTTGGACGTTTTAAAACGTGAAAGATATTTGTGAATATTTTCTGTGAGCCTGTCGATAAAATATCCAGGCTGATTCCCCTTGAACAACAAAATCCTTATGGATTTTAAACAGTTTAATTATGTTTTGTATTATATATTCCAAGATTTAATTATTTATTATAGTCCCTAACGAAAGGATCAAATTAAACAAATGGAACATAGTAAATTGAACCGTCCACACTTTCTTTCTCTATTTATCCATCAATATTTATCTCTATAAGTATGTGGATATTCCTTTTTTGCTTTTGCACTCCCCTTTTATCTCTCTATCTCTTTAACTCACTCATCCTCATTCTATCACCAAACTCAACTTTCTCTCTCTCTCTCTCTCTCTCTCTCTCTCTCTCTCTCTCTCTCTCTCGCTCTATTTCTCTGTGCCTCCCCCTCACTCAAATGAACTGTTACTTATTTTCTTTCTTTCTTTTTCATTTACTCAACACTTCTCACTCACTCACACCCCTCTTTGGTACTCTCTGATTAACCATTACACAAAAATTCTCTCTCTCTCTCTCTTTTGCTCTCCTCCTCTTTCTCTCATTTTCCCTCTTTCCCTCTCTCTTTTGCTCATTGCCTTTTCTCTCATTCTCCCTCTATCTCTCTCTCTCTCTTTTGCTCTCTTCCTTTTCTCTCATTGTCCTTCACTGTCTCTCCCTTTTTCTCTGTCTCTCTTTTGCTCTCTTCCTTTTCTCTCATTCTCCCTCACTATCTCCCCTTCTCTATCTCTCTCTCTTTTGCTCTCTTCCTTTTCTCTCATTGTCCCTCACTGTCTCTCCCTTTTTCTCTGTCTCTCTCTTTTGCTCTCTTCCTTTTCTCTCTTTCTCCCTCCCTCTCTCTCTTTCTTTATTGCTCTCTTCCTCTTGTTCACATTTTCCCTTTATCTCTCATTCTCCCTCACACTCTCTCTACCTCTTTCATTCTCTCTCGTTTGCTCTCTTCCTTTTCTCTCATTGTCCCTCACTGTCTCTCCCTTTTTCTCTGTCTCTCTCTTTTGCGCTCTTCCTTTTCTCTCATTCTCCCTTACACTTTCACGCTCAATCTTTTTTGTTCTATTCCCATTTCGTTCATTCTGCCTCACTCCCTCTCTCCTTCTTTCTCTTGCTCCCTATCCATCTATCTATCCATCTATCGGTCTGTCTTTCCTACTCCACCGACCTCCTACTATATCTATTTATCATCCACCTATCTACTATCTATCAGTCTGTCTTTCCTACTCCCTTCCACTTCCCTCTCCATCATTTCATCTATCTATCAATCTATATATCTATTTATTTAACTATGTACCTTTCTCTATCTTGCTTTCTCTGTTCCGTTTGTATAATAAAGGACGTTCCTTCAAAAGGACCATTCCATTTAATGGCACATCATTAAGTTAAATAATTAATTACTTTCATGAAAACACATGCCTACACTTGAGCAGCTTCATCTTTATTCATCTCCAAAGAAAGTTTTGGAATGAAATTGACTAGAAGTGTCTTTAAGTCATGACAATAATTACATTATTTTTGTGTATCAAAATAGTAATAATAATCCTGCAATACACAAAGCTTACTTTTCAGTAAAGTTATTTTATATAACTTTTTAAAATATTATATAGAGTTTCATGGGTTTTGTCGTGATTCGAACCCTGAACTGCTTGCGCGGCAAATACTTGACGGACAACCAAACCATTTCACCATTGCGGTCATATTATAGATCATTATGTTATAACGATTTCCTTATAAATTATTTTATACAGTAATGGCCAGTATGATTTGTTTTTATACTGCAGGAGGCGAATTTAGCATTGGTAATTTCAAAGACTTGTACAAAAGATTCGGCGACAAATGAAGATGTTTTCTCCTCGGCCGAAGGTTTCCTGCGGGACGCCGCCAATGCTTGCAGTTTCGCTTGCCCGTTTGCAGTCATAGTCGTTGACGCGGCACCTTTAAATTATACCGTACCGTTTTTCTCAGGGGTAAACTGAAATTACTACTATACATGTATTTAATTGTTATTATGACGCGACGGTTTTAATTGCAGGTTTTCGCGCAACATGGTGCCATCAACACTTGCAGGGTGTTGGGAAACATGAACGTCCATTGTCTCCGAGCTCAGACGTATCTAGCCCGAAAACTCAACCTGGACCCGCATTCCTTGGCTGATCTAGTCGTCGTAGGTGGAGGCACTCCAGAGACAATAGTTCCGGTCATATCGTATATCGAGCCCGAAGGATTCCCCCTTCTCGTAAGTCGCAATTCCTTTGATTAAAATCACCAAATAATGTTTATACATTTTGAGTGTGTACGTATCTTGTGAATGACAAGAACAAGAATTTGAACAACATATTTCAAATGACTCATTTAAAACCGTAATTTTTTAGTTTTATGATTGAATTTTTACAACATTAATCAACTATATATTTTGCAAAAGGTTTAAACTATGTTTCATATTTATTTAAATTGACCTCAGGTTAATCCAGGTTGACTTATAAAGGCAAAATTGTGTTAGTGTGTGCCACATGACGAAAGAAGGTGAAGGTCGCTATTTCGCCTTGGCATTTAATTAAATTACCCTCTCTTTGAAATCTAAAATAGCAGCAAAAGCGCACTAATTTTGACAAAGGAGTCAAAAATAACTTTATTTTTTTAATAGCAAAAATATGGTAGTTAGGGAAAAAGTTTCATAGAACTTGTGTCCAATGGTCAAATATACTTAAAGTTTTTTTTTCAGCATAACAGCATTTACAGGGTGTACTTTTTAGATGACCCGGATACTCTTGGACAGATAACGTTATTTAAAAACCAAAAAGTACATATTTAATAGTATTTTTAGTCCTGTTACAAATTTTTACCCCGTTTTTTAAATATTTCTTGTCAGGGTACTTCAGAGGGTACTTTGAAATTTTGAAATGAGAACTTACACTTTTTTTTGTTAAATTGGTCAAAGAATAACGAATTTATGGCACAGAATGGGTACAACTTGGTAATGACATGGATAGTTGACTCGGGGGCTTTCCTATGCCAACTTTCGACAATTTCACCGATTGAGAATACCATTTGTGGTGAACTTGTATTAATCCGTCCAGAGGATGTTTGGGAGAACATTTTCTTCTACATCGAAAGGAACGTGAACCGTCTGTGCCTTCAGTGCCGCTCCTAAGCCATATCTGGCTCCTTGCAGCTTACTTGGCTTGCGCTGCTAATAGCTTTTTCGTTTATAGACGGAAGCTATGCTTATTATTTTTTCTCTGTTCTCTCATTTTCTCTTTTCCACAGACGGTCGCATCTCTACTCCACTTAACGAGCTCTTCGTCACAGTAAAACTGCGTCCGGGATGGGCCTCGCGGAGGCGGCTCGCTTGGGATTTAAATGGAGGAGGAATATGACTCGTATCGTCTTTGCTCTTCGTGTCTATTTAGGTTTCCAACCTTTTCTCTTCATTATTCGCTTCCAAAATTGTTGAGTCGTCTTTAGCCCAGCCGGCGAAAAAAGGAACGTGAACCGTCGATCTAAGCCCGAAGTCAAGACGAGAATGATACGGTTTAAAATTGAATGTTCTGAGGACATCTCTAATCCAATGAACCAACCCCAAATCCTTACAGTCTTTCAGTAAAAGTACTGTACATATCAACCGTTCTTGACGTGAAATGCGCACTCTTCCGCTCAATTTGACTGCCTGATAAAAAATTATTGAAGAATATTTAAAGTTCATGGAGGTATACAAAAGTTGGAATTTAGCTCTTATGCTTTTCATGTTGTCTAAATCCAAGACCAGTCGTTTAAACGATATCAAAACTATCATTGGCAAAACAAAGAAAAAATTAAGAACCAAAGTAAAAAAAAAAAATGAATTTCTTGGGACGATTAAATTAAACCGTTCTACCTTTTTAAAAAAAGTTACTTGACCTATTTCGAACAGGGTGTTCCTGTTGGTAGTTCTTGATGTTTCAAACATGCAGAGTACCTTTTTTTTTAATGTAACCGTCTATTGACTAAAAACTGCTAGCAGACTCCATCAACATAAGGTATTTGTTGAGATAAAAAAGTCAGTGCCACGAGCGGGATTCGAACCCACCTTTTCAATTTTCCCTACTTTTTGCCATTTTTCAACATTCACAAGGTGTGGTTGAGATGAGAAGTTGGTGTCCGAGTGGATCAAAGTCACGATAGTTCAAGTGGAAGAGCGGCGGCGTATTTAGCCGAAGGTCGTGGGTTCGAATCTTTTTTATCAAAACCTTACTTAGAGATTAATTAATTGAAAAGAACTTATTTGGTCAAACGTACCACGAAACCTAATCGATTCAAGATATTACTTTGAACATTCTGTGCCATAACTTTGTTACTCTTTGGCCTATTTAAAATCTCATTAAGCCATCGTTTTTAATATAAAAAATCCTTTAAATCAGTGAGTAAAAAAGGATAGGTTTTATTTAAAATTTCAAACTAGTACTGGATCTAAAATATCCAAACAACAAATATGTAAATAAAATGGATAATCATATAAAACTAGACTAAAAGATATTAATTTCGTATTTTTTTGGTTTTTCAATATTTGATGGTCAAGAAAAATTCAACCGGGCCATCTAAAAAGGACACCCAGTATACTATTTTCCCCCCTTTTGTTTGTTTATGTGAAAATAAGTAATTGAGTGATAATGATTTGTCGTTGTAAAGTTAAAATCGTAGATCATAACTAAATCCAAACTTTTTTACTTATTGATCTTCCAATTTTCGTTGACCTAATTTAAATGAGTGAGCCAAAGCATTATTATTCATTATTGAAACTGTAAATCCGTAATGTTTTATACGAATGCCTCATTGAACCATTTGATTTAATTTTCGCTTCCTTTCGAAAAACAGGTTAAATAAATGCTAATTCATTGAATGATGAAATACAAAGTTGTTTCTATCGACTGATTGGATTCTTGGAACAGAGGTGATCGATCCGGCGCTGAATAGAATATCATACATCACCGAAGAACCCTTGGAGTTGTCTGCGGCGACACACTTAAATTTGGATCAATAGCCAATAACCCAACAATGCTTGCTTCTCGACATCTTTTATTGTAAAAGTTTTAATCACAAATCAGATCGAGTCCACTTAAAAATAAAATAAAGTTGAAACACAAAATACACCGTTCGAAAAAATAATCACCGGATCTGACCGCATTCATCCTTTTAAGGCCCAGTAAAAACACATTTAATTTCTTCATAATAAAACCGTATGTACTATTATCAGCTCTTTGTAAAAAAAAAACTATTGAAATTTTTTTTAACATTTCTCCATTTCAAAAGGCTGCATGTTGCGCGGCACTTACAGTCATCGCTAAACACTTGTCTAGCCGGAGGTAATTCGCCAACTTGGAAATGTCCTCAATTTGGAAACATCGATTTCCGTTTGTCCAAGGCAAATTATTATCACGTAAGATTCGGTAAAGGTGATCGAGTCATGATAGGCGGGATAGAACGTTAATAAAAATAAGAATTAAAAAAAAAAGTTTGTACTTCACAATGAAAATGTGGGGTTCGACTTTTATAACGTAATATAGCCGTAGAGAGAGAGAGGGAAAGAGAGAGAAAGAGGAGAGGGGGAGAGAATGAGAGTGAGAGTGAGAGAGAGAGAGAGAGAGAGAGAGAGAGAGAGAGAGTGAGAGGAAGTTATAGAGAGAGGGAGGGAAACAGAGGGAGAGTGAGAGGAATTGATAGAGAGGAGGAGGGAAACAGAGGGAGAGAGAGAGAGAGAGAGAGAGAGAGAGAGAGAGAGAGAGAGGGAGAGGGAGAGAGTGTGAGAGAAATCTGGCGAAAAGAGTGGATCAGTTAAAAATAAAAAAGAGAGAGAGAAAGAGAGAGAGAGAGTGGGAGAGAAGGTGAGAGTGAGGAAGAGAGAGAGAGAGTGAGAGAGATGTACAGAAAGATAAACGGACTGAGTCCAGGAAAAGCACATAAAAAGTAATAAGACAGGAAGAATGAGAAACAAAGAGGATAGGGGAAAAAAGAAGAGAGGGCTAAACAAATAGTGAAAAACATACAAACCTAGAGTGTGAGAGAGAGAAAGAAAGAGAGAGAAAGATATTGAGAGAGAGGAAGGGTGTGAAAGAGAGGGTGATATACAGAAAGACAAGCGGACAAGACAAGAAAAGGCATTAAAAATAATAAAACAGAAAGGGTGAGAAAGAAGAAGGGCGTAGTGAAGAAAGGGAGAGAGTGTGATGTAAATAAAGGAAGAAATAGTGACAGACAAACAATCCTGAGAGAGAAAGATAGAAATCTACAGAAATATAAACGGACAGAGACAGAGAAAGACACATAAAAAAATAGAGGACAGAAAGGGAGAAAAGGAAGAAAAATAAAAAAAAAGTGAAATAGTGGACACGAGTAGTTGACACAAATTTTGACCTAGCGAAACGTCTAGGCCTCAAACCATCAATTTTGCAAGCTGAGATCCAATGATATAGAATATATAACATAAAACATAAACATAGTATATAAACATCAAGATAAGATGTCATTCATGCAAAAATAAATAATAAATACATTTCATTACAGAAAATCGATCAGAATAGAAAACACAAAATGATTTGTCACTTTAAATAATTAAATCCTCACGAGTTCATGGCCTACTGTCGTTTTCGTAGACAGTCAGTTATATTTAAAAGTAAAGAGCTGAATATTCCAGTAACAGGTTTATTTGTTTAGGTGTAAGTCAAGAACAATCGATTCATGTTGAATTTTGCGTTTTATATAATCAATCGATCGAGAATTGTTCTTCGAAGTCAGTTCGTTGACGTCTCTTTGAATTAGAATCTTAATTTAATGTTGTTATTTTATTAGGAACGGCACCTCCAGTTTTCCAAGTTTGTCCTCTCAAGGGAATAACCCGATTAAAGGCTTAATTAATCCTTCTATTTGTATCAATTTAGACCTCGGTGGATCGCTACCAGTTCGTTCTGCCGTCAATCACAGACGGCTCCGTCCCAATGGAGATGGCCATTTGAAATAGCAAAGTCGCGAGGGATGATGATTAACGGGATTCCACGAGGGAATGGAGAACTGCCCGTTAATAATCCAAGGTAATAACTGATACAAATCAATGGTAAACTTGGGACGTGTTCCATTGTACGACCGCTTATCTGCACATGTTCATGGCATGTTTACAACTCCTAGGACGTTATGGAATTGGAATTTCGCTCAACCATTTAGTCAAGAATCGACCAGCATCGACATTGGCCTGATCTTATTTAATATATACATCCGTTTCATTATTTTACCTAACAACTTTAAGAATTTTAAAACGAATGATTAACCATCAATCTCGGGAATAATTTTGTTTTCTAAGCTTAGGTGGCAAATTTCTATTGGATATGGGATGATCGACTTCGAATATTTTACTCTACTGCCGTTTCAAGATTACGCGCTATGGCTTCACCACTTCTTCAGTGAGAAACTGCCTCCTCAGAAATGTATCCATATCCAATTAGAATTTTCCATATATTTCCATTTTTTAATAGGATGGATCGGAATGGATAGGACCAATTGGCTTTTCGATATTCACAAAACACATAACATCCAATAACAATAATAATCGTACAAAGGCGTGAATGTATTTATTTGTGCGAATGTATAATAGAAGTTAGTTTTAAGATAGATTGTAGTTTTCATACATTGGGGCTGAAATGCCCTAGCTTTCGAAAGCCCCCGTTGGATCTTAACCTCATTGGTTGGAACTACTGGATGTCTGGCTTAAGGGAGATATTAGCCACCCAGCCTCAGAATCTCCCCTGAGGTTCAGTCCCTAGGATCAGCACATTGGGAAATGACAAACCTTTGGTCCTGAATTACCTGATACATTTTTTCAGCTCTAACCCGCTGTATATTTCTTTTCCAGACCGATCCAATGGAAATGATCCAAGAGATAAAACAACTGGAGAAAGTGGACAAACTGCACTTCAACATCCAAGACGGGGCTATTGTGCGGTCGCGAGGTCTGACGAAGCTGGCCTCGGCCATTTTGTCTGGTATTAACGAAATAATTCATAAACTAAACTTTTCTCTAAGCTACAAAAAAAACATTGATGAGTTAGAATGGATGTTTTGGTTTTGTTCGTTCATTTTTGCAGTTCCGGTGTTTAAATCGGGTTCCCTCTTCTATTCCATACCTCCTCTATCTATTTATAAGTAGTAATGACCCTGTTTTTCTTCCCATTTCAAAAAAAAAACTTTGTGATCGTCATTGATCAGTCCTGGATGCTCATATTTCCCAGATTAACCGCTTCAGCTTTCTCACCCGCCATCAGTGTCGTCGTGCCAACCATTTCCACGTTAGTAGGCGTTAAAATTTCCTTATTTATTCTACCCCACTTTGATTATGGTCGTGCAGTTTTCAGAAAATAAGCTTAAACATCATATGAATTGTTTTGTACGTTTTATCAACGGCTCCATAAGGAATGCAGAATTAATTCCACGTAAATGATCTGTATAACAAATTGGGTTATACAATCCTTATTGCAAGCAATTCTTCTTAGGATTCCTTTCTCTATCAGATGTCTTTCTATTCCCCTAACTACGTACATACAGAGAACTACTTCGTGGAGACTATCCTTCCTCATCTGGGATGAAAACTGAAATTCTCTCTTTCCCTCTATCTCTGTATNCTCTCTCTCTCTCTCTCTCTCTCTCTCTCTCCCTCGCTCACTCTCTCTCTCGCTCTATCTTCATCTCTATCTATCTACCTCTCTTGCTCAATCTTTCTATCTCATTCGCTAAGATTGTTTGTACATCACTATTTCGTTCTTTTTATCACCCCTTCCCTTTCTCTCCTTTCCACCGAGAGAGGAGAGAAAGACAGAATAGGAGTGAGAGAGAGAGAGAGAGAAGACCGAGCGAGAGAGAGAGAGAGAGAGAGAGAGAGAGAGAGAGAGAGAGAGAGAGAGAGAGAGAGAGAGGTTTATACGGACCGACCGAGACAAAGAAAGAGACAAAAAGACAAAATGGTTTAGGAAAAAGGTAAAAGGATAAATGTGTTAATGAGATAGTGTGTAAGAAAGAGGGCTAGAGAGATAGAGGGGGAGAAAGAGAGAGAAAGAAAATACGAGGGAGAAAAAAGCTGTAGTTGGATAATTGAACAATAACGGGACAGCAAGTGAACACCAAGATAAGGAACTTGGTAAATTTTTATAGCTGTTATTTATTAAAAAAAATAGCATATTTTGAAAAAGCTCAAGTAGCAATGAAGTTAAATACATGTCAATTAGTCTATCTGGGAATTTGTAATTTGTTGTATGTTTAATTTATTGAATGTTAAATGATTGTCAGGAGAGAAAACGATAAGTATAAGTTGTCTCAAAGGAGATTTAGGGTGATAACTGTGAAAAATTGAGTATTAAACGGATAGTTTTAGATAGATAGGTTATATAGATAGGTAGTATTTAACTTTTAAAGGACCGACCCGATCGAAGAATAAAACAAAACAAATCTTATCCATTTTTATACTTTATTTTCATTTCTTCATTTCAGGGATGTCGGGTAAGAAAGTCAAAGGGTGTGCGTTCGTGCGGACGTCCGACCCACTCGGCGTCAAGTATTTCTCCGTTCCTGTCGAGTTCGGAAGCTGCGGGGTGGAAAAAAACCTCGGCCTGCCGAAGCTCTCCCAAGCCGAGCTGGAATCTTTGGACGAAGCGATCATCATTTTATCCGAAGAAATTGCCCTGGGAGAAAAACACATCCCGCCCCCTTGGGACTTCCCCGTGGCCCACTTGCCTGCAAAAACGACTGATGTGCACATCAAAGTCGAATGCCAACCGCCTAACTCAAAGCAATTCTCATTTTGACCCGTATACGTTTTACTTTCGTTCCATTAACAGATCACTTTTCAAAAATCATGTGTTTATTTATTTTAACGTAACACTTTAAAACGTAACAAAAAGTTGAAACTACGGTAAAATCTATATATCTGAATTTAGTCCCTTTAACTATGACTCCTCACTGGTGCAGCCAGGATTCAAGTGTGTAGGTGATTTTTAAAATCTAGTGACCTTGTGTCATTGACAATAAAAGTAAAATTTAAAAGTTGGGAACATTTTACCATCGTCGGTATTGTTTAGCGCCGAGACATAACACGAACTGGAGCGTTTCAGCAAAATGGTGGTAGGCTGTTGTCTGGGTACTTGGACAGAGGTCTGCAGGTTAAGGAAAAGGTGGACAAAGCGGCTAAGGCCGTAACATTCCATCTCCGGACTTAACCGCCGCCTTCCCTTTGATGCTTAATATGCAATAAAACGTGATTAAAAGAAGGTGGCTCTCACGTATCAAGAGCACTGTCCTCGGTGGTTGGACGTCCACGGAAGGTGGACATCGGAGGTTCTGTCCTTAGAAGACGTCATTTCCACACTTTTTGGCCATGCACGCGTATGTGTCCGGCATATAGCGAAAGTTTCTCGATGTGTCCCACCTAATTGGCTCTGAATAGAGAGCGTGTAGGAATATTACCCGCTGTAAGAATCATCCTTGTGCACGTTAGCGGGTACCTGAATTTCCTGTTCCTTTTCGAGGGCACAGAGTTATTTTATTAAATAGAATTGCTTTTGTGTAACTTGAGAGTGAATGTACTTGTTGGCGTGAGTGTGTAGTGAAAGAGAATTGATGCTGGAATATTGAATACCCCATCGACCCTCTATTAGGTCTTTTTTTAATTAATTTTTTTACGAGGGTTCGCAACAGCAGATGTCATCTCAACCCTCAGGATGCAGGTGTTTTCGGAAAAAGAAAGCTCGTTTGTAAGTATGTCGGGCTCGAATGCAGGGCCGCTGGATTCGAACACAGGACCTTTACCTTGAGCGTGATGTCATGTGAACGCCTGAGAGGACCATATTCGACCAAAACACACAGAGTTCCACGGCTCTCATTTGCTTGAGAACACACCCATTGGTTTATGGACGATTGGTCTGCTGTACTTTTTACAGATGCGTGTAAATTTGCTCCACCATCTCAAGATGGGCGTGAAAGGGTGTGGAGAAGGCGAAATAAAAGGTACGAAGCTTCTAATTTTTCCCAGAGTCAACCTTTTCAACGAAGCTCAGTGGTACGGGCGTGAATTTCAATGGAGAATCGCCCAGAGTTGGTCGTTGTTCGTGGAAGGTCTTTGACGGCCACTCGGTATGTGGATGAAATTTTGTAACATCATGCGTTAACATGAGGGTCTTATCCTGGCCATCCCGTTCTCCAGACTTGAACTCCATCGAACATTTATGAGATAACCTCAAAAGACGAATAAGAGCACGTCCATCACTTCCTGATAAACTCCAACAAAGAGACATTTCCAGACTGGTACAAAGTATGCTAAGGCGTCTTCGAGATGTAATTGAGGCAAGAGGAGGAAATGTTAATTATAAATCTAATTAAAATAAATTTTATCTGTCCGTCTTTTTTATTTTTCATTTTCCTTCGCAATTTACTTTTTTTGAACTTTTTGAGAAAAATACTCAATTATTAAACGTTAAAAAACGTGAAAATTTTATTAATATATAAAAATATAAACAAATCAAGCTATATTTCATGTGGGTGGAATTTTTTGACTGACAGTGTATAATAATTTATTATAAAATTATAATTCTGTTGTGGCCTACTCGCATAAGAAGTTTTTTAAAAAGTTTTATTAAGTAAGTAATATACAGGGTGCCTTTTTTTAAATGCGCCAGAAGGTTTTACATATTTTTTGAAAACAAAAAAAGTGACCAATGGTAACCCGCCTTACATTTTTGCGCAGATTCTAAAACCGTCGCCATTTTTTTCGACGTGTTTACAAATGTTCAAAAAATAGGATGAGACCCTATATCTGGCTGAAAGTTAACTAAAGATTGAAAAACACCTCGATCGTTAAGAATTAAAAAAACAGAATTATGTGTGGTGATAATTATTTAGAAATCGTGAGATGCGATTTGGTGTGATGTAGGTTTCAGAAAAAATATCCAACTGGCACTCTCAACACGACACGCAAGAATGGCACAATTACACAGAAGACAAACACTTTGAGCTCTGAAGATGATCTCAATAAAGACCGAAACGTTGGGACGGTAAAGAAAATGTTTTTCTGAAACCTACATCACACCAGACCGCATCTCACGATTTCTAAATAATCAACAGAATTATGTTTAATCGGATATTGAAAATTATTGAAATAGTCTTTACTCAAAAGTTATTCTACAATAATTCTTTCCTCTCGATTATTGTCAAATATGTAAATCCAAGCCCATTCTTTTTTATAAATTTATTTAAAAATTTTTATATAGTTTGTGTACAAAGTTAAATTTTTTGCGTTATATAATTATTTAACGGATTTAAAAAATAAAGCAATTTTAACGATTTTGTTGTTTGGCTTTGAGTAAAGACAACAAAACCATTAGGTTAACTATCGAGACATCATAATCAATAAGGAACATCACGTAAGACACTGCTAATTTGGATTAATAGGCGTTAAGCGTAAACATAGTGTAATTGGGCCACGTACAAAGGAGTCACCATTAAGTTCTCTTCTGGCAAGGGTTATTGATCTCTAGGATTGTACACAACCTGGAAGATTTATAGTCACCGGCTCAGAAGACGCAGTCGGTCAGATTTATGCCCTTTCATTTATTTTTCCAATCGAGTAGAATTTTCTTATAAACAAGACGGTGAGTTTGGACCTGAAAGCCCACGACGTTTTTTCTCCAAAACTTATTTTCTCAGACAAAATAGACTCTTTTGCTATTTATATTCACCTAAAATTTAGTTGAAATTTGGTTAAAAACTCTGGTGGAGTTTACTTACCTCTCACATAAGCTCTTTTTCTCTCAAAAGGAGAGTAAGTTATGGAGGAGACCTATAAAAGGCGTAATGACGCGGCTATTCCGACTTGATAGCATTTTCATTGTTTCATCCTCCAGCCATGATTTCCCATAAGACAGGACGGACACAACATTGAATTACACCCACAGCACCCTTTCAATTATTCAACCGTTTCAACAGACCATTATTCAACTATTAAGCACTTAGAACTCGTGTGTTGGAGGAACTTTTTTTCTAGTTTCTTTTACCAAAACGATGACAAGAGCGTGGACAAGGTTCTTTTGTTTACTCTGTGCAAGGAGGCGTCTAAAGAGCATTTGAGAGATATAAGATAGATGAGTGGACAAAGTTATTGTTAACATTTAACGAGCCAAGAGACAACTATCAATTAGTTTGCTATGTTGTGACTTGTTCTGACACAGCCTAAAGCAAAACAAAAACAACAAGGAAAAAGTTAGGGTGAGATATGGAGAAAAGGGAGAGAGAATAACTCGTAGACCCACAGAGAGAAAATAGTACGAAACAAAAGGCGAGAAAGAAAGGGTAAGGAAGAAAAATTTAAAAAATACAATAAGCGAAAAGGCTGCAGTGCTTGGTAAATACCAGATCGTTTCCTTGTATACTCAACATCATCATTAAAGCCAAAGTGGAGAACAAAGCGAAGGGCAAAACATTTGAAATTGAGAATACAAGTGATCGATTTTAGGCACTTCTCAAAGTTTTATCATTGAAATGTTCAACATTTCACGGCGAAAATCAGTCTTAATCGATTACAATACTATTTTAAAAGTTAGTAGTATGGCCGCGGATTTTTCGTGGTAAATTGTCAGTTAGAAAAGTCCAGACTGATTTAACTAATTAAATTTTTCCAATTTTGAACAAATAGAATATTCTTTTATAGTAAAAGTTAATTGCATCAAGGGCCATTTTATTTTCCCTTTCGAACGGGACAAATTAGAACAGAGGGAGAAAATAATAGCTGGAACTGACATCCAATTGAATTCTGTTGGAATAGTCCGTTTATCTTCCTCGGTTTTTGGAGTTCTAAAATTTCTAACATTCAGTTATACACAAAATTTTAAACTTTCTCTGTTGCTTTAAATGTTCGAATTTTCCCCGTTTTTGCCATATTGAAAAATTATAATATCAATCTATTTAAATCTCAGTCAATAGTGCAAATCAACGGTGAAATGTTGAAACAAGGCGTTCAAACGATTGACGTCGATCTTTCCATCTTTTCGATTAAATTTTGCAAATTTTGACCAGTCATTTTCAAATCAAGGACCACCAGTCACGATGGTTTAGCATAAACGCCGCCCCGTGAAACTATGTGTTGTTTTTTAAAAATTACTTTCAATCGATAAACAGGGAGAGACAGTGGATACATAGATAGAAAGATAAATAGATTAGTAAATGTAAATGAAGATTAGTAGATGAATAAACTCCTGCTAGAGAAAATTAAATTGAGAATTGAAGTTTATTTATATCTAGCTTTCAAAACTAGACTCATGGACCTTTCTTGCATTTAACGAGCATTCGTACATAGAAATAAAGTTTACATAATCCAAAATACAAAACAGGTGTAATAAAAATATAACTTTTTTAATATCTACATATAAACTGACAAATTCCGCCCACTTGTATTATAACTTGATTTGTATATATTTTCATATATTAATCAAAATTTCACATTTTTTAACTTTTAATAATGGAGTGTTTGTCTAAAAAAGTTAAAAAAATGTAAATTGCTAACGAAACTGAAAAATTAAAAAAACTTAAAACAGACGGATAAAATTTGTTAGAATTTTGTTTTAGTTTTTTCATTCACATTTCAATATCGCTTATTTCCTCCTCTTGCCTTAATTACATCTGGAAGACGCCTGGGCATACTTTGTACCTTTTTCAATCTTTAGTTAAGTTTCAGCCAGATATAGGGTCTCTTCTTATTTTTTGAACATTTGGAAACACGTCGAAAAAAAGTGGCGACGGTTTTAGAATCTGCGCAAAAATGTAAGGGGGGTTACCATTCGTCACTTTTTTTGTATTCAAAAAATATGTA